GGGGGGGGGGGGGTCACTGGGCAAAGGGAGCAAACTCACTCTCAGTATGAGCCTCCACTTCCTGCCAGTGCCAGCAGCCCATTATTGCAGCCATCTCTCTCCACCCTCATCACCTCCTGACGCATTGTTGTGTCACTTTCTGTCTCCTTTTCCTAGCGGTGCCCAGCTTTCCAGATCCGACCGGATTCAACCCTGACGAGGATTTGTCGACGTTCCCGAACGCTGAGTCTCCTCTGTTTCCTGGTGAGTTGCTGTCTGCCCTAGGTCAGTAACCAGTGTTCCAGTAGAGCTGTCAGACACTGGAGGTAGCTCCACTGGGAGCTGTGCTGTCTGTAGGCTGTTACCATGGCTACAATTGCCTTTTACAGCCTGTGGTTAGAGAGTGAGAGATTGCATGGAGCTCAGTTTTGAAGGAGGAGTTATATCTAGGTTTTAGAGCTAAAGGGATGAAAGGGTATATGGAAAAAGTGGGAACAGCATACAGAGTTAGATATCAGCCATTATCATGTTGAATGGCAGAGTAAGTTTGATGCGCTTACCCCTGCTCCTGTTTTCTTTGTTTCTACAACTGAAGAAGGCCATTTAGCCCATCTAGCATCCTCTCACCGTTCATTCCCCTCATTCCTGGTCAGTAGCTTGACTCCATTTTCCTTCCTTGGGATCTATGGATCTACATCCAACAAAGATCAGTCAACCTCGGTGTTCAGAAGGTGAGCTGTTCCCAGTGCCCTGTCCGGATCAGCATTTCCACAACCCGTCAGACTGAGCAAATACCTTCTAGAACCAGCCCCAAGATGCCACACATAGCCACAGAGTTCTGGCTTGGTTTCCCAGGAACCACCTTCTCCCGATCTCTAGGAGGAAGAAGGGCTGACCACAACTTCCCAGGGTCACCTCAAGGGGCAGTGAAGGCCACACCAGTGGATTGGATTCTGTTCTGTTCCACATTCAACATTCCCATCTGCCCCATGATAAACTTTAGCTTAGTGATAGTCTGCCCAGTGCTGCACCGCGAGAGCACTCTGCCTGCCCAGTTCTGCACTGTGGGAGCGCTGTGTTGAATAAATTTTGAAGACAGGGTCCTGTCCTCTCTCTGAGCTGATGGTGAATATTCCTGTCAGACTATCCTGAAGCTGTGGAGGGCACTCATGAACGTCAACACTCGAGCAGACTTGTCCAGTTGTTCCATTAATGGTGATGGGACCTTGCTGTCCTCTGCGTTTCCCGCGGGGATCCTGTGGCGGTTTCTCCAGAGCCTGGTGCCTGTGATGTTGGTGCAGGTGCTACAGTAATGCAGTCCGTCCTTGCGGAACGTGAGTGGTTTCCCCCAGCTCCTGGTCAGAATCGGTGTTTGGGTTCTACAGGTGGGCTCCAGTAAAACCCATCCAGCATTCGCCACGTGTTCACTCTCTCCCGCGTGTTGCCACTGAGCACGCCTCATCATCTTCCTCTGCCCATATTTTTGTTCAGGAGCCCATTCTCCAAACTACCTGCCAGTTCGTGGGGAGACCAACCTCCTTCCAGGGCACAGTGAGTGGGATCTGCCCCAGCTGTATCCGTCCGCCTCAGACTCAGACCCTCCAGCAACTGGCTCCATCCCTGAGCCCTCAAGGACACGGCTGGAACTGCTGGGGCCAGACATGAAGGACTGCCACACTGAACCGTATGGCTGCTGTCCAGACGGATACGCTACAGCTACTGGACCAGGAGGACAGGGCTGTCCCACCATCCTCTGCTACAAGAGCAGGTAAGCGATCGAACCAACATGGTTCCTCCCCATGAACCCCTGGCATCTGAGTGGGTAGCAAGCTCTCGCCATCAACAGAGGCTTCTTCTGACCCATTTCAGAGGCCAGGGGACAGGGCGGGAGCAAGGGGTTGCTGGATGGTTAGATCTACTGCTTTCTTAGGTGAGATGACAACAAAGGCTCCCTCGTGCCTTCTCAGGTGAATGTCAGCGATTACAGAGAATGGTTTGAATAAGAGTGGGGACAAGCGGTGTGGGTGTGGGGGTGGAGTGGGGGTGGGGTGAGGGTGAGGTTTCTCCCTGATTTCCTGCCCAATATCTAATCCTCACACAAAGTCATTGTCAAAAGAAACTGACAATCACATCATTATTATGATTCGCTGGAATTTGACAAGGCCAGGTAGTGTTTGCAGAAAGTCTGAGGGTGGGGTTTGGGGAGAGTGGGACAAGGGCGGGGTTTGGGGACAGTGGGACAAAACGTATTGATGAAGATAGAGCAGTGGATGTGGTGTATATGGATTTTAGCAAGGCATTTGATAAGGTTCCACATGGTAGGCTCATTCGGAAAGTAAGGAGGCATGGGATTCAGGGAAATTTGGCTGTCTGGATACAAAACTGGCTGTCCAATAGAAGACTGAGGGTGGTAGTAGATGGAAAGTATTCAGCCTGGAGCTCGGTGACCAGTGGTGTTCCGCAGGGATCTGTTCTGGGACCTCTGCTGTTTGTGATCTTTATAAATGACTTGGATGAGGAAGTAGAAGGGTGGGTTAGTAAGTTTGTCGATGACGCGAAAGTTGGTGGAGTTGTGGACAGCGTGGAGGGCTGTTGTAGGTTGCAACAGGACATTGACAGGATGCGAGGGCTGGGCAAAGAAGTGGCAGATGGAATTCAACCCAGAAAAGTGTGAAGTGATTCATTTTGGAAGGTCAAATTTGAATGCAGAATACACGGTTGATGGCAGCATTCTCGGCAGTATGGAGGAACAGCGGGATCTTGGAGTCCATAGATCCCTCAAAGTTGCTACACAAGTTGATACGGTTGTAAAGAAGGCATATAGTGTGTTGGCTTTCATTGGCAGGGGAATTGAGTTAAAGAGCTGTGAGGTTATGCTGCAGCTCTCTAAAACTCTGGTTAGAACACACTTGGAATATTGTGTTCAGTTCTGGTCACCTCATCATAGGAAAGATGTGGAAGCTTTAGAGAGGGTGCAGAGGAGATTTACCAGGATGCTGCCTGGACTGGAGGGCAGGTCTTATGAGGAAAGGTTGAGGGAGCTAGGGCTTTTTTCATTGAAGCGAAGAAGGATGAGAGGTGACTTGATAGAGGTTTACAAGATGATGAGAGGCATAGATAGAATGGATAGTCAGAGACTTTTTCCCAGGGCGGAAATGACTATTACAAGGGGGCATGGAGGAAGGTATAGGGAAGATGTCAGAGGTGGGTTCTTCACATAGAGAGTGGTGGGCATGTGGAATGCGCTGCCGGCAGTGGTAGTGGAGTCAGATACTTTAGAGACTTTTAAGACTTTAGAGACTCTTGGATAGGCACATGGAGGATAGTAAAATGTAGGGTATGCAGGGTAGATTGATCTTAGTAGGATAATAGGTCGGCACATCGTGTGCTGTACTGTTCTATGTTTTATGTTCTGTGTTCTATGGGACGAGGGCCGGGTTTGGGGAGAGCGGGACGAGGGCGGGGTTTGGTGTGAGAACAGCCCTTTTCCAGATCTATTCATTTCCAAAGCATGAGCCAGTGCCTGAAATATGAATGCGTCCAGGACATTATCATTCACTTAGTATTCATGGTGTCCCGCTGAAGTGTGTTTCAGAATCCCACCGAGATGGCTCTGAGGTGCCCTCTCTTGAGTCAGTTTAATGTGGCTGGTGTTTGGAATAAGTGTGGAGTCGTAGGGTCGGATTTTCAATCCAGAGTCGGGAATGCGATATCCAACTGAAATCGTGTACCAGCTTCCCAAAGCCAGCTTCACACCGAGACAGACTAATTCCCAGGACGTGAGGTTGGAATTCAGTGATAGGTGCTGAGCGACTCCGTTCTGTCAGGGCTGTGCCTGACCCTAGTGACAAAGGCAACTGGTGGCCATTTTGGGGACTGCAAGTTAGACGGGGAATGTAGGGGCAGGTAGTGGGGTTGTGGGATGAGGTGGGCCACAGATTTGTGTGATAGACCAGTTTTCCACAAAGTAATTTGCGAAACACTGTTTGAAGCGATGGAATTTTTTTGTTTTTGAATTGAAGGCATTTTTCCTCTTCCCACCCACCACCACCCCCTTCCAATCTGCTAAGGTATGGCTGCTGCCCTGACGGAGTGACATCAGCGAGGGGGTATAACCAAGCCGGTTGCTCAACATTTTCAACCAACAGTAATTCTAATAACGATGACCAGATTTTTGTAAGTGTGTCTTCCTGTACTGGGCTGTCTCCAAGTCACATGTGAAAAATTAAAAACAAGTTGCAGGATTCAGACTCACCAGGCAGTGAAATGAGAAGACCATGGTGTGAGAATGTTTGGCCTGTGTCCTGACCTGTGTTGATTTTGAAGGTTAAATCTCCGGTCCCCTTACACCGACCCTCGACATCTATCTGATCTGATGTCCCTCATGTAGATAGCCACAGCCTGTGCGCAAGACTAGGCGGTGGGTGCTGCTCTCTCGGGGATATGCGGATCTTATTCCCAATGCGCGCTCCTTCGGCTAGGAGGCAGTGGTCAGAACCCACTTGTCAATGGTAGCACCTTCAGTATCTGTGGATGCAGCACACAAAGCAAGCCCTGGCCGCAGGGATTTCACACACTGCCAGCCTCAGTACTGTCCACTATTGCCCATTGGTATGCATACACCAAACCATGCCCCATTTCTCCATTGCCACCAGGGCAGACTGACTATCACAGACTCCTAGTCCGGCATCACCTCAGTCTTCAAGACTCTCTCATCCTTATTTCCAAATCCTCCATCACCTTGCCTCTCCCTAACCATGTAACCCCATCCAACCCTACTCCACCCTTCCCCCAAGGCCCACTGTGAAATTTCAGCCCGTTGACCAGCATGACCCCCATCGTGTCCCAAGCTATGTGGTTCCCTTCCAAGGTCTCGCAGTTGCGCTCTCTCTCTCTCTCCCCGCCCCCTTCCTGCATGTTTAGAAACACTCCATCAACCAGCTAACCTCTTTCATCAAGCATTTGGTCAATTGTCTCAATATCTCCATACAAACACTCTCATAGAAACTTAGAAACCTAGAAAAATAGGGGCAGGATTAGGCCATTCAGCCCTTCCAACCTCCTCTGCCATTTAATATGATCATAGCTGATCATCCAACTCTCTACCCTGTTCCCGCTTTCTCCCCATAACCTTTGATCCCCATAGCCTTGAGAATTGATCTGTGCATCCTCCTCACTGTTAACCCTGCACTTTTGCTTTATGCTCTGGAGCTATTATATTTAGTTCCCTCCTCTAACTCATTACTATACATTGTGATTAGCTAGGGTCCAAGCATTCATCCCTGTGGTGCTCCACTCGTCACTGCCTGCTACTTGGAAAAAAGGTGCGTTTACTCCTGTGTTTTCTGTCTGTCATTTAGTTCTCTGTCCATGTCAGTACGCTGTCCCCAATCCCATGTGCTTCAATTTTACACGCTAATCTCAAAGCGCTTTGGGATGTTTACTGTATTAAAGACACCATGTATAAACATGTATAAACTGTCTGTTTAAAAGGTGGGTTTTATTGAGAGTCAGAATTCTGTGGAAGAGAATTCTGTGGAAGATATTGTGAATCCAGCGATTGGTTTTTGTACATCACACAGGAGTCACAGGCCACTGTTCGAGATAATCCATCGGATGAATGTCGGAGCTCCATGTTTGGTTGTTGTCATGATGAATTGACCCCTGCCTTGGGCCCGAGGGGAGAAGGATGTAGGAGCGGACCCAGACACCGTGAGTACGATCGGATTCTGGGAATGCGTAATGAGTGGTGGCCTGGGTCACTGGCTATAACACAGAAACATAGATAGGAGCAGGAGTAGGCCATTTGGCCCCTCAAGCCCATCCTGCCATTCAATATGATCATTGCTGATCATTGCACTCAATACCCTAATCCCACCCTTGATTCCTTTAACCACAAAAGCTATATCTGCCTCCTTGAAAGTGCAATGTTTTGGCCTAACCACTTTCTGTGGTAATGAATTCCACAGGCTCAGCACTCTTGGGTGAAGAAATTACTCATTTCAAACCTAAAAGGTACACCCCTTATCTTTAAACTATGACCCTTGGTCCTGGACTCCCCCACCATCAGGAACGTTCTTCCTGCATCTAACCTGTCTAGTCCTGTTAAAATTTTCTAGGTTAACCAACTTAATCTCGCCTCATATGTCAGTTCTGCAATGCCAGGAATCAATTTGGTGAACCTTTACTGCACTCCCTCTATCACAAGAACCTCCTTCCTCATAAGGAAACCACACACTGTTACAGCTGATGGCTCACCAATGCCCTGTATAATTGCACAAGACTATCTTGTTTCTGTACTCACATCCTCTTGTTTATGAAGGCCAACATACAGTTTGCCTCCTTTACAGCCTGCTGCACCTTGCATGCTTACGTTTAGAAACTGGTGCACCCAGATCTCGTTGACATTCCCTCTCTCAATTTCCAGCCTTTCAAATAATAATCTGCTTTCCTATTTTTTGACCAAAGTCGATAACCTCACATTTATCCACATTACACTGCAGCTGCCATGCAGTCGTCCTCTCGCTCAGCCTGTCCAAATCCCACTGCAACATCTGTACATCCTCCTCACAGCTCATCCTTTCAACCAGCTTGTAAATATCGTTTGCAAATTTTGAGATATTACATTCTGTTCCCCCATCTAAATCATGAACATACATTAGCTGGGATCCTAGTACTGAACCCTGCAGTATTCCACTAGTCAGTGCCTGCCATTCAGAAAAAGACCCATTTATTCTTACTCTTTGTTTCCTGTCTGCTTACCAATTTTCTCTCCAAGTCAATACCGCCAATCCCATGTTCTTTAATTTTACACATTAATCTCTTACGTGGGACTTTGTCGAAAGCCTTCTAAAAGTCGAAATAATCCATGTCCACTAACTCCCCTGATAATCCTCAAAGAATTCCAGTAGATTTTTTTTCAAGCCATGATTCCCCTTCTGTAATTCCTGACTGTGTCTGATTCTCCCACTGTTTTCTAAGTACTCTGTTACAAAAACCTTGATAATGGATTCTAGCATCTTGCCCATGCCGACAACAGGCTCACTTATTCCCCGTTTTCTCTCTACTCCCTTTTTAAATAGTGCAGTAACACTAGCTACTCTCCAAACTGTAGAAACTGTTTCAGAATCCTATTTCTAGGGTTACTTCCTTATGTACTCTGGGATGCAGATTATCAAGCCCTGGAGATTTATCAGCCTTCAATCCAACTAATTTCTCCAACACCATTTCCCTACTAATACAGGTTTCCTTCAGTTCCTCCCCCTCTCACTAAACCCCATCATTTCTGGTACTTTAGTTGTGTCCTCATTTGTGAAGACAGAAGCAAAGTATGAATTTCTTTTGGCAGTCATTTCTTCGTTACCTGTTATAAATTGTCTGTTTCTGACTGTAATAGATTTACCTTAATTTTCACCAATCTTTTCCTTTTACATGCTTATAGAACTTCTTTAGTCAATTCTCATGTTCTCAAACTTCCCTTGTAAGACATGGTTTGGCCACTGTTCTCTTTGCACTCTTGCACCAGACAGGAATAACCAATTTTTGTAATTCACCCATTCACTCTTTGAATGTTTGCCATTCCCTATCAACTGTCATTGGTTCAATACTGTTTCCCAATCTTATCATAGCCAACTCATGCCATTGCAGTTTCCCTTATTAAGATTCAGGACCCTAGTCTCAGAACCAATTACCTCACCCTCCATTCTGATGGAAAGTTCCATCATATTCTGGTCATTCATATCTAAGGGGTCTCTTGCAACTACATTATCAGTTGTTCCTTTCTCATTGCATGATACCCCATTTAAGATGACCTGGTCTGTTCTCTAGTTGGTTCCGAAAGCTATTGGTTCAGAATACCATTCCATATACATTCTAGGAATTCCTCCTCTATGGAATTGTGACTAATTTAATTTGCCCAATCAAAATTCGATTTCAAGTCACCCATACTTACTGAATACCTCTCTGATTTCTTGTTTGATGCCATTCCCAACATTACCACTACAGTTTGGTGATCTACATAGCATTCTCACAACTTTTTTTACCCCTTGGTACTTCTCAATTCCACCCAAACAGATTCTACATTGTCTGAGCTAATAGATTTTCTCAATATTATGTATGTTCATACCCAGTCTAACCAGTAAGCTGTCAGCCATGATTATATTGAGTTGGTGGAGCAGGCTGGAGGGGCTTCAATAGCCTACTGCTGCTTCAATTTCCTGTATTTCCATGCACTCCTTGAGGATGTGTTTAATGTTTGCTGCGTTTTGCAGTTTATCCAGCTCCGTGCCTGCTGCTGAGCGCTAATGGGCCCTGCACTGATTGGACAGTCCGATGGTTCTTCATCCCCGATGCGGCGCTCTGTAACCGCTTCTGGTATGGAGGCTGCCATGGCAACATGAACAACTTTGAGACGGAGGAAGAGTGTGAGAGTCGGTGTAAGCAATTGGGTCGCGACCGTGGCATGAGTAGGCCAGACGATCGGGCTCCCTGGTGGTCCCCACACCTAGGACGACAGTCTGAGTCCTCCCTGCTTCCTACACGGGCTCCAAACAGAGGCTCAGTCCAACTGCAGCCACACCATCCCATTTACAGGTAGTGCCGTTGTTATCACTTCACATGGGAGCACTGCTTCCTCTCTGTCATTTTATACAGTCACGCAAATCATGACGGACTTTGGGAAAATAAATTGGGAGGAAGTGCCAGGAGGGTCAGTAACCAGCGGACTGACAATTAAAATAATTAACAAAAGAAGCAGGAGGCAGCCACAGCTCCCTCAGATTTGGTCAGAGATGGGAGGGGTTTGACTTCTGAGTGAGGCAGGTTTAGGGATCCAGAAGGTACCATTGGAGGAGTCTCAGCTCTTTTGCATGCCTCCAACAGAGGTTTGAAGTTCTGGCTAACTGTGTACTCAGGAATAGGGACTGTAGGGAGGATGAGCAAACTGATCACAGCACCATATCGCAGGAGGCCTTTCAAATGAGAGGAGGGAAGATTATAAGCAGCTATGGGCTAAACTCAAAAATAAGGCACCACAAAGGAAATAACCTCTGGATTACTATTTGAGCCGCAAGCAAATTGGTGTAGGTTAAATAAAATGAAATTGTTAAATGTCCATGATCAGTGTAGGAAGGATGAGTTTTGGGACACTGCAGCCAGACAGAAGGAGCTGTACCACTGGGACAGTCTTTGCTTGAACTGCTGTCCTCCAGCGGGTCTAAACAGATCTATTACACCGGGCTGGAAACATAATAAGGTGATGGGGGAAAGGGGGAGGGAGGGAGAGTGATGGGAGATTTAGAAACTTTAATGAAAAGAGAACAAGGCAGTAGTGCAGGGTAAATGTAGGGAACTGTCACCCCTCACTGGGGCATGTGCTCGGAAATCAAGCTCTCACTATTCCCAGAGTCATTGCAAAAGTTAAAGATTTTGGAAAATGCACAAAATTCCCTAATTTATCCATCTTCTAGACCCAGAAAACATGGACCAGGTTTCTGTGCTAAAAAAGAATTACTTTTATTACAAATAAATGATTCTAACTCCAGATAAACAATTATGAACCATTGATGTGTAAGAACCCACTTGTAAAGTCCTCCCTCAACACGCACACATAGACAGACCAAAAATACATGGATGTCATGGGTGGAGGGGAAGATCGGGAAGGCAGTTCACTGGCCCTAGCGCACAGGGTTTGTTGAGATGGTCCTTTTGCTGTTCAGAATGCTGCTTCTCAATCTTCCTTCTCCAAGTATTTTCAATTGTTTGCAGAATGCTCAGGGTGATTGATTCGCACTTACAAAAGTTTCAGATTTATTAATTAAAAAATCACAGCTTACAGCAACTAATGAGGGAGAATAAACTGGCTGTCTTCAGGTTTGAGATGCTTTTTACTGAAGAGCAAAAACAGGTCCATCCCTTCTAAAGATCTGTTGGCTTCTGCCGAACATTGACATCCCCAACCTGTTCAGCTATTTAGGAGTCAATCTCGTAGTTAAGGGGCCTTTGTCATTGTCGCCATTTCACAATCATCTACGTGCTGCCAGCAAAATCTCCATTTGTATACCTCTCCTGGCTCTAGCTCATCTGTAACTAGGCTTTCCCTACTGAACAAGCAGCTGAATTAGCAGCACTTACAATGCGTAACTTGCCTTTAAAAAGTGTAGTAATCCTATAACAATTCTCGGCTTTTAAAACAATCCTTTTCCCATTTCAGACCACAATCAAAAATACAGGAAAATAAAATGTTACGGTTGTTACAGGATTGACAATCAGAATGTAATGTGAAGTGACAGGTTGTGGAAACATATGTGTGCACCTGCGTAAAGGGTAAAACAGCTAAATTAAAGGCACTTCAATTTGTTGCAGGGTGGAGCTAGGGGAAAATATTTACAGACCCCAACAATAATAGTCAGACTAGGACAAAATACATGGCAAGAAACAATAAGGGCCTGTCAGAAAATTGCTGTAATAATCACAAATTCATTTCATATAGACTGGACAAATCAAATTGGTAAAGGTAGCCTGGAGGATGAGTTCATAATGTGTTCAGGACAGTTTCTTGGAGCAGTATGATCTCGAGCCACTCTGGGTAACAGGCCAATTTCAGACCTGGCATTGTGTTACAAAATAGGATTAATTAATGCTGTCTTTAGTAAAGGTCTCTCTAGGCAAGAATGATCATAACATTGATAGACTTTCACCTTGAAGATAAGAAAAGAACCTAGGTCTGACTCTACTATTTTAAATTTAAATAAAGGCATTTACAAAGAAATCAAGGCAGAGCTGGTTACGATAGACTGAGAAATAGATCAATGTTGCAGACATCCATGGCTAAGGATGTTAAGGATGCTATCAAATTGAAAGAAAAGATGCAAAGATTTATAGTAGGCCAGAATATTGAACACATTTTAGAAACAACAAAGAATGATTTAAAATAAAATTAAGGAACAAATTTAGAATGAGTAAATGAATCAAAAATATAAAAACAGACAATAAAAGCTTCTATAGGTATATAAATAGTAAAACAGATGTCTTTAGACAATGAGGTTGGGCAATTAATAATAGGAAATAAGGACTGGAAAGATTTTGAACAAGTTTTTTGTAATGTTTCTGTCTTCGCTGCAGAAGAAACAAAATTGTGTCCAAGAATAGGAGGCAATCAAGAAGCAAAATGTAAAACTAAACACCATCACTCAAGACAAAGTAATGAGACTAAAAGCTGACATGTCCCCATTGCATACCCAGACCCAATGTCCTCCATCCTAGGATCTTAAAAAACATCAGATTTATGGAATTACTATAATGCAGGAGGCCATCTGGCTCATCATGTCTCCACTGGTTACCTGGTGCCAATCTCCTGCCTTTTCCCTGTACATTAATTCTATTCAAATAATCATCCAATGCCCCTCTTGAATGCCTCAACTGAACCTGCATCCACCGCATTTCCAGGCAGTGCATTCCAGACCCTAGCTACTTGGTGTGTGAAAAAGTTTTTCTCACATTGCCCTTGCTTCTTTTGCACATCTCTTTAAATCGATGCCCTTTCATTCTTGTTCCTTTTGCACACAGGAAATTTTATCCCTATGTACTCTGTCCAGCCTGTTTATGATTTTGAAAATCTCCATCAGATCTCCCTCTCAGGTGCCTTCTCTCCAAGGAGAACAATTCCAACTTCTTCAATCTATCATCACTGAAGTTTTTCATCTCTGGAATCATTCTTGTAAATCACATCTGCAATCTCCTAATTTCCTATAATGTGGCACCCACAATTATATACGGTACCCTAGCTGAGGTCTAACAAGTGTCTTGTACAAATTCAGCATCACCTCCTTGCTCTGGTACTCTATGCCTTTATTAATAAAGCTGAGAACACCTGCCTGCTTTATTAACTGCTCTCTCCATTTGTCCTGCCACATATAATGATCTGTACACATATACCCGCAGGTCCCACTGTCCCTGCGCCCCTTTTAGAATTGTACCCCCTTTTTTATATTGTCTTTCAATATACCTCCGCTGAAAGCCCACCTATCCACCCAGTCCACCAACTTGACCATGTCCTTTTGGAGTTCACTTGGAAATTCAAGCAGCTGCAGAGATAGTGGATACATTGGTTGTAATTTTCCAATATTCCCCAGATTCTGGAAAAGTCACAGTGATTGGAGAACCACACATGTAGCCTCATTGCAGACACTGACTTCACTCCATGTTTACTTAACGCTAATTTGGACTTCGCAGGACTATTTAACTTCTCAAGGGCAACTTAGATGGACAATAAATGTTGGCCCAGCCAGCAACACCCACATCCCGTGAATTAATAAAAAACATACCCATTCTGTGTTAGGTCATACCATATGGACAGTATAAAATATCACGATGGTAAGCAATATAGGAGATTGTGATATTGTATTAAATAATTAATTCAGAGCAGCAAATCGGTGTCAAATAACTTTCAAAATCACCAACCATTAATCCTTCAATTGAGATGCACTTGACGGGATTTGATTGTGTTATAATTTTCAGACTGAACTAATATTCCTTTCTTTCCCAGGTTAAATATCGACAGACCTGATCCTTCTTTGGTGAGTTCCCGGCCAGGACAAACTGTGAGGTTACTGTGCAGGGTTGATGCATTCCCATCTCCTCGTATCGAGTGGTACAAAGATGGAAGACTGTTACTTTCAGCAAGGTCAGTTCAGCTATCCTGAAGATTTTTTTTTCTTTATTCATTCACAGGCTGAATTCACGGGCATCGCTGGCTAGGCAGCGTTTATTGCCCAGCCCTAATTGCCCAGAGGGCGGTTAAGAGTCAACCACATTGCTGTGGGTCTGGAGTCACATGTAGGCCAGACCAGGTAAGGATGGCAGTTTCCTTCCCTAAAGGACATTAGTGAACCAAATGGGTTTTTCCAACAATCGACAATGGATTCACGTCACCATTAGACTGTTAGTTTCAGATATTTATTGAATTCAAATTCCACCATCTGCCGTGATGGGATTCGAACCCGGGTCCCAGAATGTTATCTGGGTCTCTGGATTAACAATCCAGCGATAATACCAGTAGGCCATTACCTCCCTTTGATATCTGTGGATAGGCTATTCTAGCATCTTAGAGCTCAGTATGCCAAATACTCATTTCAGCTGAACTTTATATTCTGTTATGGCCATTGTCCCTTACCGATGACAAAATAGGAGGAGTGGGCCATTCAATAAATCAATGCCTGATCTGTTTGTGTTTCAGATTCCACATTCTCAGGTACCCTCAATTCCCTGCCTAACAAGAATCTATCCACCTCTGTCTCAAAAACATTCAAGGACTCCACCTCCACCACCTTCTGAAATCACAGAGTATTCAGGAAAAAAAATACTCATCTCTGTCCTGAAAGGATAATCCTAATTTTAAAAACAGTGCTCCCTAGTTCTGAACTGACCCACAAGAGTGAACATGCTTTTCATAAAAACCAAAAGAACGGTGATTGCTGTAAATCAGGAACAAAAACAGAAGTTGATGGAAAAGCTCATCAGGTCTGGCAGCATCTGTGAAGTAAAATCAGAGTTAATGTTTCAGGCCCAGTTCTGAGGAAGTGTCACCAGACCCGAAACATTAATGCTGATTTTTCTTCACAGATGCTGCCAGACTTGCTGAGCTTTTCCAACAACTTCTGTTTTTGTTAACCTACTTTACATGTCCACTTTGTTATGACCATTCAGGATCGTATACATGCCAATTAAATCACCCCTCACTTTTCTAACTCCAGTGTAAATGAACTCAGCCTGGCCCTGGTATCCTCACTGTCTGTATTGAATGCGGAGTTTTGAGCATCACTCATTGTACACCTCAGCATATCTTAGAGTGAGAATGCACAACAGGGACTGGGAAAGTAAGCAAGAAGGGACCTGCTAGACCTCTGCAGCCACGAAGCACTTTGGAGAATAGATTATTATAATGTGGGAAGCATACAGCAAGATCCTACAAATATGGTTATATTTTAGAGATGTTGGTTGAGGGATAAATGTTGGTTAGGAGATGGGTGGGAACTGCACTGCACTCTGTGATAGGAGCAGACCATAATATCTCTTGTGAATAATGGCATCTATGCCTATGCAGTTGTCCCTCAGCACTGTGCTGCAGACCAGGGGGATGTTCCTGTTGAACTGCTGGCTCCAGCCTGGTAACTTGTTGTTCCTCACGTACAGACACAGACAGCAGCCCGATGGATCATTGCTGATCAGCTCGGTCCGGGAACAAGATGGTGGATTGTACACCTGTCGAGCATCAAATGGACACGGTCAGGCATCTCGTCAGGTTCAGCTCAACATTCAAGGTACTGTCCATCCATGTATGGGTGTGTGCGTGCGGTGTGTGTGTGTTGGGAGATTTGACCTCAAACACTGAATCTGAAAGAGCTGAGCTCCTGGGTGTTATGATATTAATGTATAGGTGATCAGGCCCCGCACTCTTCCAGTTACACCAGTTGTTAAAGGTGTTGGTGCAATCACTTGTACAATACTATTGATAGAACCTAGGAGTAGAGCCATTCGGCCTCCATACTCCTACTCTACCATACATTCTGATTAGTCTTGATCATCGTGAATCTCTTTCTTGAATGTATCCAGTGACTTGGCCACTACAGGCTTCTGTGGTCAAGAATTCCACAGATTCATCACGCTCTTGAGTAAATAATTTGTTTCTTAACTCAGTCCTAAATGGCCTACCCCATATCCTGAGTCTGTGTCCGCTGGCTCTAGACTTCTCAACCAGAGAAAGCATCATCGTTTCTGCATCTAGTCTGTCCAACTCTGTTAGAAGTTGGCATCAGACTTCAATCAGATCAATCCCCCTCTCATCCTTCAAAATTTTAGTGAGTACAGGCCCAGTCAAACCAATCTCTCCTCAAAGGACAATCCTTCCATCTCGGTATCAGCCGACTGAACTTCCACTGCATTCCCTCTGTGGCCTACCTTGGGTGTGAAGACCCAAACTGTATGCAGTGCTCCAGATGCGGTCTCACCCAAGGCCTTGTATAACTGCAGTAAGGCACGCCTGATTCCAAACTCTCATGCTCTTACAGTGAAGGCCAGTGTACAATTTGCCTTCCTAATTGCCTATCTACTTTCATTGACTGGTGTACAAGAACAGCCAGGATTTTTTGTACATTCACAGTTCCCAATATGTCACTATTTAAATACTGCTTTATCTTTTCACACCAAAGTCATAGAGTCAGAGATCTACAGCACAGAAGAACACCCTTCAGCCCATGTTGTCTGCATCAGTCAAAAACAACCACCTAACTATTCTAATCCCATAAAAACCAAAAGAACTGCGGACGCTGTAAATCAGGAACAAAAACAAAGTTGCTGGAAAAGCTCAGCAGGTCTGGCAGCATCTGTGGAGGAGAAAACAGAGTTAACATTTCGGGTCCGGTGACCCTTCCTCAGAACTGAGTGCTCAGTTATCACAATTTTGCACTTAAATACTGCATAAATGTTTTGAGGGTATTGGCCTCTACCACTCTTACAGGTAGTGAGTTCCACCCTCTGGGTGAAAAAGTTTTTCCTCACATCCAGTCTTCACCTTCTGCCTTAATCTGTGTCTCCTAGTCATTGACTCCCCCCGCCCCCCCCAGTCAAGGGGAAATGTTTCTTCCTGTCTACCCTACACCTCTTATAACTTTATTAATCATGCCCTCTCTCTGCTTTAAGAAAAACAGCGCCTGTCTGTTCAATCTCATCTCTTCATGATTGAAACTCTCTAACCCAGGCAATATCCTGGTAATTCTCCTCTGCACCCTCTCCAGTGCTATCACATCCCTCCTCTAATATGGATTCCAGCATTCCTAGCTCTAGCTGTGACATTCCTGTCTTTTTCAAATGCTCTGATAGCTTCAGTGCTTTCCCACTACCTCTGATATTTGATGTAAATACCACTGATTGTTAAAGTGACTGCACAGACTATTTCGAGGCAGCTTCCCTCATGCTAATCACATGCTAATATTCATGAATTGCAAAATACTTTGTGGTATTTGCTAAAACTGCACTGTTCACACTTCTGTAAATTGTAGCTGTTTTGACTCTGTCAGCACATAATTTCCTTATTTAACAAAAACCCTTGTGTTTTGTACAAACTTGTGCTCATTGAGAAAGCTGACTATGTAGTGTAAGTGAGACTTGCCAATTCTGAAAAGGGGAGATCGTATTAATCTCCCCAAAGCAAGTCTAACACACAGCAATATTTTCTGATTGGGATTCCCATCCACCGTTCCAGATTACCGCAGCATGGGGTCATCCTCCACCAAAGTTGATCTGACCACTCTCGACCAAAAACAGATCTGCAAATAAAATGCAAACAGGAAGTGCTGGAGAACCTCTGACAGTATCTGTTGAGAGAGAAAACATAGATAATGTTTTGAGTCCAATATCACTCTTCTTTAGAACCAGCTCACTCTGTTTCTCTCCGTACCGATGTGGTCAGACCTGCTGAGTTTCTCCAGCATTTTCTGATTTTTATTTCAGATTCCTAGCAACTTCCATATTTTGCTTTTATTCTGCAAATAAAATGCCGATTCATGCTTATTTGCATGTGCCTCCTTGTAAAGCTAGCTAACTGGAGTGTAGACACCTGCATTTGGGTGAATGTGTGTGTGCGTGTGCAGGGTGCTGGTATTTGTAATGTTGGTGTTCCCTTGTGGAGATGGTGGCTGGGGAATGCAGGAATTGTGTTTCCTTTTCCAAATGAGTTTCTAATCCCTGACCACATCAAACATCATCATTCATCCCAAGCGGAATAGCCATCGGTTAATCCATTTCCTACCACCCAGTGATATTGAGCTTTTCCTCTTGAATCTGCGGACTTCAGACAGAACGGCGAAATGGGCAAATAGAGCCCAATGCAAGAACTGGGCAGTGATATCTGTTAGAAGGAATGATATGAGAATGGGAATGACACGGTCTTAAAAAGGGGTCAATGAGCAGAGACCTTAAGTGTCCCTCTCAACTCTTTCAAGTTAGAGTTAATGAAACAGAGTTACTGGAGTTTGGAACAGAATATAAAGACCTGCTACAGGAAGAACGTAATTTAGTTGGAGAGGGTTCATAAAAGATTTACAAGGACGTAACTGGGACTGGAGGGTTTGAGTTACAACGATAGGCTGGGACCATTTTCCACTGGACAGAGGGTGGTTCGTACATGGAATAAACTGTCAGAGGACGTTGTAGATGTAGATTATAACATTTAAAATACATTTAACCTGATAGGTAAATAGGAAGGATTTAGAGGGATATGGGCCAAATGCCGGTAAATGGGACTAGTTTAGTTTGGAGAACTTGGTAGGCATGGACAAGTTGGATTGAAGGGTATGTTTCCACGCTGTATGACTATGACCAGGATGTTGTGGTTAGACCTCACAAATCACTGCTTAGGCCCCAGCTGGAATATTTTGGATGTGACACTTCAGAAAAGACGTAGGGCCTTTTGGAACGGTGTAGAGCAGGGTTGCTACAATATTACCAGGGTGGGTACTTTGGTCAGAAAGAGACAGCGGAGACACTCAGATTGCTGTCTTTGGAAGAGAGAATGTGTCCTGAGCAATTAGCGTTTCTTCCTTGGGATAGGAGTTTTTGGACTGACTGACAGGCCCCCTCCTGTGCTTTGTGATTCTAGAACCCTGTCAATGTCTGACCCCCCCCCCCCCCCCCGCCCCCCTTTGATTGTAAACGTTTAGATCAATGCTTTGTACCCTTTCTGTTTTGTTTGGAAACGCTGGTGGATGATGTTTGAGAATTTGGTCAATGCTTTTAGATAATCTCGACTGGGTATTTCCGGGAATGTTGGGCTTTCTACCTTTGATTTGTCTCTTGTGCTGTTTCCCCATGTCCAGCTGCAGCTCACATCCAGCCCAGCATGTCTGTGATCGAGGCCTGGGTTGGCTTCTCAGCCCAGCTACCATGCCCGGCTGAAGGATGGCCAAGACCCCGGGTGTTCTGGGAGAGAGATGGCACCCGCATTGGACCAGCGGCCCAGCCCCGGCTCACTCAGCTGGATGACCAGTCTTTACGCTTTACCTCAGTAATGCCCAGCGATGCAGGGGAATACGTTTGTGTCGCCCAGAATATGGTGGGACCGCTGCAAAGGATGGTGGTGGAACTTAAGGTCAAAGGTTTTTAACGATGGTCAACTTTGCATTTCCAAGGCTGGTCGAACCGCGGGGAGATGGTTGTGAGCTTGTGCCATCTCGGTGTGAGAATGCTATATTGAGATTGCAGCCAGGCCAGGCTTTCTCCCTCTCATTCCTCAGATTGCCACTTCCACTGGCATGGTTCAGGCAGGTCTCACTCTAGATGGTGAGGCAGACTTTCCCACCTAGAGGGGGTGAGAGTAAGAGTGCTGGCAGAAGTATCATCTTTTTTTTTTGGACCCATCAAATGTGCATTTCTGTAGAATCTTTCAGTAAATGAGGACGCAACACACAGCGAATGAAGTCCTTCAGAGGTGTCATACTGTAGGAAGCCTGAGGGATAGTCTGTGCAAAGCAAAATCCCACCAAAAAGCAATATGATGATAACCAGAAAGTCTCTTGTTCCTGTCAACCAAAAATTGCTCTGTTCCCTGAAACAGTGTGATGGGACCTTTGACCTAGACCTGAGGTGGTGTCTTAATTTCATGGTGTGCATCAGGACCCCAGTCCACCAAAGTCTCTCTTTCACTGAGGATAACAGTGAGGTTAAGCCTACTCAAGGTCAATGTCTTCACTCTGTAGTGTTCAAAACTGATCTCAGATACTGCTGGAAAAACATAGTGATACCACAGAAAGCCAGGGGACCAACAGCATAGAATTAACCAATTCCTTCCCTGGCTCCAGTTGTCCCGATGTGAGCCAAAACCAAGCTGAGCCCAGAAAAGTGCTTATTTAATAAAGGTCAAACGTGAGTAATGAGGCTCTTTTAAAACATGTGCATAGCACCCCCAGAACTTGTAACTGAGCCATGGAGGGTAGGTTCCAAATTGATTTTGTGGAATTAGTTTCATTAAAGCATGTTAATCTTTGTTAGTTTTATGTAGTACAGCAAGGAACATTGCCACAGCTCCCGATTCAAAATCCACACCAGGACTTATTGACAGTGGAAGATGCATTTGTAGTATGGTCAAACAGGTTGATTGTCAGCCTGAAAACACTGACAATATACCTGGTAACAGGAGGTAGGCGGCTGTGAGTTTTCTAGTCAGCCATCCTGCACAAGGCAAGAGCAAACTGTTGTTTACCCATAAGCTTGGACCAACCATTGGAGGTCTGTGATCCAACACTCAAACAAGGACGAGGAACGGAGCCAGTCACACACACCCAGCAGGTATGAAAGGTTGCAGTTCATGGCATTTTATCACAAATTTTAGCCTGACTTTATTGGCTTAGTGGCTTCATGTGGATGGGGCCGTGGTGTGGTGACTGTTCAACGTGGACTTATTACCATTATGTCTATATTTGTCCTCCCTGTCCTAGAACCCACGTCCAGATGGTTGGTACTGTGGGAAGGTAGTGTGTTGGCATATACAGGACTTGCTGGCCTGCATGTACTTTACCTTCCCCCGCCCCCCCCACCGCTGTCAGGTGCCCAGGGGCAGTATCATACTGTTCTGAACGTTGTGATTCCTCACAATATAGCTTCTGTTAATCACATTCCTTCAGGCCCTAGCAGTGACCTTGGAAATAGTGTGAGGGAGCATTCCCTTTGCCTTCTTGCAGTGTGCTTTATTCCAAGGGACGAGAGCCTTTCTCCAACTTGTATCCCTCCTTGAGTGTCAGAAAAAGTTGCTGCTGTTCTCTGTCGCAGTCTTGTGGTAGAGTTGTCTCCTGCAGTGTGATGTTCTTTCTCTGAGGACTCTGTGAGGTTTTAAGACAGGACCGTTTTGGACAATGGTGCATGGGAAGCCACTATCTTGGGGATACTGCTGATGCTCACCTTCCTCCTTCTCCTCAGTGCAAGAGAGATTACAAATAAAACACACCATGTCTTTAACAAGACATAAGTTGAGTTTTATCTTCACCAGGAGAACTGAAGATCACTGGACCACCTCAGGATCTACATGTGGCCTTAAGGGGAACAGCAGAGTTTCCGTGTGTGGTGTCTTCTTCCAATGCTAATGTACAGTGGACAAGGTAAATAAAGTATATGTAATAAATTGCAACCCAGCTGCTTTAAACCTATGACCTCTAGAGTCATAAATTTACACAGCATGGAAAATTACCCTTCAGTCTAACACATCTGTGCTGACCAGACATCCCAATCTAACCTAGTCTCATTTGCCAGCATTTGGTTCATATTCCTCTAAACCCTTCCTATTCGTATACCTATCCAATTGCCTTTTAAATGTTGTAATTGCACCCACCTCCACAATCTCCTCTGGCAGCTTGTTCCGTATGTGCACCACGCTCTACGTGAAAAAGTTTCCCTCAGGTTCTTTATAAATCATTCCCCTCTCACCTTAAACTTAAGTCCTCTGGTTTCAAACTCCCCTAACCTGGGAAGAAGATCTTGGCTATTCATCTGATCTATGCCCATCATGATTTTGTAAAACTATAAGGTCACCCCTCAACACCTACTCTACAAGGGAAAAGTCCTAGCCTATCCAGCTTTTCTTTATAACACACATTCTCCAGGCCTGGCAACCTCCTTGTGAATCTTTCTGCACCCTTTCCAGTTTAATAACATCTTTCCTGTGGCAGAGCAAATGGAATTGTGTGCAGTACTCCAACTGTAGCCTCACCTATGTCTTGTACAGCTGCAACCTGATGTCCCAACTCCTGTACTCAATACTCTGACCAATGAAGGCAAATGTGCCAAATGCCACCTTCACCAGTCTGTCTATCTGTGACGGTTCTTTCAAGGAACTATGTACCTGCATCCTGGATACCAGCCACATTACTATCGCCTGATCGTCTGGTCATTAGTTTGTTGCATCTGATCCTGCACACACCTACTCTTTCCTACATCACAACAGCGAACACATTACCAACAAAGTGTTAGATTGGTTGTCAAAGATTTCGGAGTAGCCATGGTCATGGAAATCACTATATAAATACAAGGTTTATTTTGTCACTCACAGTGAATCCTTCACCATGAGGGAATTCCTCATTGATAAGTGAATCAGAGTCAATGATAATCAACAGAAGACTGCATTTATTGCTCAAACAAACCGTTCATGCTTCTCCTGGTCTTCTCCTTTTCCTCCCTCACCTCCACAAAAGTGATTGGTCCATACAGCACAGAAACAGACCCTTCTAACTTGTCCACGCTGACCAAACATCCCAATCTGACCTAGATCCTCTAAACCCTTCCTATTCGTGTACCCATCCAGATGCCTTTTAAATGTTCTAACTGCATCCACCTCCTCTGGCAGCTCATTCCATACACGCACCACCCTCTGTGATATGTATAATGATAAGAGTACGCTAATAGATAGCGGTGGGAGTGGTGGGAAATATTTGCTGAAAAACAGTACAATTTCTGAGCTGGTTGTCATTGTCCAACAGGAATGGAATCCCCCTCCGAACAGATGGGGAGCATATCTACGTTTCCCCAGATGGTACTTTGACTTTGCACAATGTCCAGTTGGACGATTCTGGGACTTACACCTGCAATGTGTACAGCGGCTCTCACTCGGTCAGTGCCAGTGCTGAATTGACCGTCACATGTGAGTAAAACAGAAGATGATAACAGCTCCAATTACATGGGGTTAATTTTACAAATGTATCACGAAATCACGTTCCCCCCAACCTCCTGGTCCAGATTTTGCGAAGCAATTGATTCAATCTTTTAAATATACACAGTAATTCATGTGACTACGGATAGCTACTGAATTGCAATAAACTACAGCATTTCCTGATCAAGGGTATCAAGGGAATTCTGGAAATCCTAAATCAGTGTGTGTTACCTCTGCAGTTATCTCCAAGGTGCAGAGCTGATACCATCACACTCCTGAAAGCTGGAGCAGAGGGGGAGGGGGGAGCTGAAGCTGATGGCAAGACAACATAATTATTTTGCTGTCCAGCTTCAGGACCCTGATCTGGGTGTTGGGTAGGTCCTGAACACACTCGTACCATCCCTACTGGGTGCCTCCTGTGCCAGTTGCTAACTTCTGCTACTGGGAGAAACGGTGCTCCTGAGGCAGGGACAAGATCTCAGGAGCTTGGACAGAGATGTCAATATTTAGGGAGCGCAGAAGCAGATCTCTTTGTGGGGAGGAATTGTTGAGGTTGTGATGTAGCCAACCTCCACCCTGACTAGCACCTCCAGGTAGCTGGCAGTCACACCCTGTGGTGTAATGTTAGTCCTATACAAACATTTGGACTTTTAATCCTGCAAATGAGCTGCCCATGCCCTTTGAGCTGGCAGCTTATCTAACTGTCAGCTTGGCACTGGGAAATTCTGTGTCAGGGAGATGCCCTGATGTGAATTCCTACTATTTCACTGACCCCATTGCCTGTCTAGAACCTGGAAAGTTTCCACCCACTACACTGGTACACAAGCGACTGAATCCATCCGAGGTTTCAACAATGTTCAAATTCACCTCAGTCCCCAGCTGAGGAAGAAAGTCACAAAAACCAGCAAAGGTACTTGCTACATTGCTATACACCCACCCTGGCACACTAGGAAATCAAGGCAAGTTGCCAAAATCTCACCAGACCACAGAGCTGCTCTCTCATTAGAGAGAGAGAGAGAGAGTTGGGGGTGGTGGGGGGGTTACTGATGGTGATTTAACCTGAGGGCCACCATACGTCAGGCAAGGGGAAGAGGTTAAAAAGGAAGAGTCCTTCATGGTACCCTCAGCTGGTGATAGGAATTGAACCCACGCTGTTGGCATCACAGCAAACTGAATTAACCCAATTTGTCCGTGAATACAGGCTCAAATAGTCCAGTGCCATTCGAAGGTAAATAATCTTACCTTACTGTACATAGGGGGAAGCAAACAGGATTTGAATTAAATAAATGTGGTGGTGTTGGTAAAGGAAATTGAACTCTGCACTTCAATTTCACAGGTTCCACTGCAGTCCTTTTCTAGAAACAGGTGTTTTAGACTGAAGATGCAGAAACGATTATAACCAAGTCACAAATGTTAGTTCACCTTTTGCTTACTCATTAGCTGGAGATATTAAGTCACAACTAGAAAAATCTGAAGGAACAAATTATGTACCTGGTAAAGAGCCCCTTCTGAAACAGGCCAGGATTCTCAGTGATGTGGATTTTATATCCAGTTCATTCAAGTCATAATGTAAATGTGATTTGGCACAGTCAATGCCTTTGTTGAAGATGTGAATTTGTAATCATATGTTTGGATTGGAAAGCATGAGGGAATAGGGGATAATCCCAGCTGATAACAATCATGCACGTGAAAATTACTCTTTAACTTTACTCCTTACACAACCCAAGCTGTTCCCGATCATAATTAATAGTGAACTGAAAATCAATTTCAGCACGTGGTACATAACGCTGAAATGGACACGGTTGGATAGATTCTCAGGTTTTTGTTACGTGATGGTTTTTTCAGCCCCGGAACCAGAGCTGCAGCTGACAGACCATGATTCGTCGTGTGTGGATCAGCCAGAACTGGCTAATTGTGATCTGATAGTACAAGCCAATCTCTGCTCCAATCAGTACTACTCCAGCTTCTGCTGTTCAAGCTGCTTGAAGCCACGGTCAGAGGGCTAATGGTGGTGTGCACAGGCAGCAGTGGGTCTCAGGTGATGGCTACCATTTCTCTTTCTCTCTCTGTTGCTTGGGTGAGCTGATTAACAGATGTTTTCAGGCAATCTCTTAGAAGTTGTGATTATCTGGTTGGTGACATAACTAACTAAAGGAAAGTAGACAGCTGACTGTCGCTGTTTCTACTTTGAGATTGGTGGCCATTTTTAGCATGTAGTAAATTAGAGACCCCTCATTAAAACAGACTGTGCATGAGTTAATAATCAAATCATCTGCAGCACCCAACTATGAGCACGGTAGGAGAAAAATAAATCAAATGTTTTTAACTCCGTCACATTTAACCTCAGTGCCCTGTCCTTCCTTGTACTGGATTGAGGTGGGAATCCAGGCACTAGATTGTTTTGTATTACCCCTTTATGCCTCAGACCCAAGAGCTGAGATGAATTTTAGTTTGGAAAGTTCCTCAGTTTTGTCTCCTTATTTGTCAAATAGTCCATACTCGAGAAATGTCAAAGTAGCAAATAAATACGTGTTTAGCACGAGAATATTTGAAATTAGGGGCATCGTGTAGGGTCAGACTGTAGGTCATTCAGCCCCTGAACACTGCTCAGCCATTCACAAAGACCATAGTTAATCAGGGTATTAGGACCTCAACTCCATTTTCCTGCCTGTCCCTTAGCTCCCTCATTGATCAGATATCTAACTCAACCTTAAATATATTCAGTGACCCAGCCTCTGAGAAAGACAATTCCAGACTCTCAACCCTCAGAAGAAATTTCCCCTCATCTCCACCTTAAAGTAGGATCTTCTATTTTTAAACTGTGCCCCATTAGTTCTAGATCCCCCACACAACGGGAAAAACCTCTCCATATTTATCCTGTCAAACTCCCACAATCTTAGACTCAGCCTCTCATTCTTCTAAACCCCACCAAGGTCCAACCAACCCAATCTTTCATCAGAAGACAACTCCTGCTTGGAGTATCACTGCTCTGCTCTTTCACAAGTCTGCAAAACTTTACGAAATGTAACAGTTCTGAAACCACAAATCTATCAGCATTTGAAGCATAAAGAGTTTTGTCAATGTGTAAAATATGGTTAACTTCTTGTTTCCTTCGAGACCACCATGTCTGACATTTTGCTTTCCTACGAAGCCTTTTTCTTCCTTGTGCTCATTTCCAGGAGGCAAAACTGGACCATTTAATCAGAGGTCTGCTCACGCCAGAGTTTTTAAATTGGTAGGAATCATTGTAGAGAATTGCCTGGAAATGCCCTCTTTCCTTTGACTTGATGCCTTTACTAGATACCTTCAAGTGCTTTTGCTTTTATCCAGCTGTACTAACACCATTTAGTTTATGAGCACTGCTGGTGTGTTTTATTAAGTGCTTCCTTGTAGGGCTTTCTCTCCCAAATTAATTCAGTTATCCTGATGAATCTGCTGCTAGTTTAACTCTCAGCCTCTGCAAATTACATTTCATAACCAAATTTCATTTTAAGCTTGTCATGCAAAGTATAACTTCTAATAAGTCATGTTCATTTATGGGAATAAGGTTATTTCTAAGTTACACATTGTCCTCCAGCTTTTGTTCAGCAATGTTGCTATCTTTCTCCTCATCCATGTGAGTTAAAACGTTCAAGATCTCAGTGAAGACAAAATAACTGGCCCACAGTGCCAGATATTTTTTTGTACATCAATTAGTAGGGAATAAGGTGCAGCAAGTTTCTCTCCAGGCATGTTTTAATTCAGAGCTTTAGAATAAGCCTGACTGGCTTGATTTGTTTAAACAACAGCTTCTAAAAAAAATATGTGACTGTGATTTCTTCTGTCCATCCTTGGAGCAGCCAATACAGTCAACCTAAGTTTCGCTGCCCCCCCCCCCCCACCGCCAACCTTGATGGTAACTTAATTCCAATTACAATATATACCACAAATGAACTAATGCAGACAGAACTGTGGTTGTAAGGGCAATTAAAAAAAAAACTAATCCATTCATATTTGTTACTTAACATTCTGAAGCATGGTGAGTCATCTACTCTGAATCTAAACAGGTTTGTTTTGCAGAATACAGCGCATTGCTGGCTGAAAGATCTATCCAATTGGTCTCAGTTCCCTGCTCTTATCCTTACTGCCCCCACAGAAAATATTTACCTGAATCCTTTTTGAAAGTAACTACAAAATTACCTTTTGGGATGAGAACAACGTGCTGTGTAGTTTTTCTCATTTCCCTTAGTTTGTAAATCTGTCACTGACTGTTCTGCCACTGGATGTTTCAGCAGCAACTCACTCATAATTTTTAGTCAAGGCCTTGGAGAGGTGTGCTCGAGCCTGTACATTATAACTCATTTACATAATTTGGTTTTTTGTATCCTACTGCACCCCCCTCCCTCCACGAATCCAACTGTTTTAAAAGAGCCTGATCAACTTCTCTTGCTACCTCAAAAAGCTTCATATACCTGACCCCCAGATCCCTGTTCCTGTAGCCATTTTAAAATTGGGGTGAAAATATGAGGCAGCATAAACTGCAAAATGCATCACTTCATAACTGCCTGAATTAACCCGATGTCTGACCATCTCACTGAGCTACAAAGTACAATGGGCCACTTCACAGCTGCAGATCAATCCTAAATTAATCTTGAACTAATGCTATTGTTTAATACCAAGAAAAACAGGAATAGGAGTATGCTGTAGGGTTCCTTGAGCCTCTGCACCATTCAATAGGATTCCTGCCTTTTTCCCATAACCCTCGATTCCCTGGCTGATCAACAATCCATCTTAGCCTTAAATATACACAAGGACTCTGTCCCCACAAGCTGTCTGTGGTGAGGAGTTTCAAAGACTCTCAACCCTCAGAAGAAGTTCCTCTTCATCTCAGTCTTAAATTGGAGCACCTTAATTCTGAGATCATGTCCCCTGGTTCTAGACTCACCCATGAAGGGAAACATCCTCTCAGCATTTATCCTGTCAAGCCCCTTAAGAATTCTATATGAGAATCACCCTTCCTTGAAATTCCAGTGACTAGAGTCCCAATGTATTTAGCCTTTGCTTATAAGACAATCCCTCCATACCTGGGATCATCCTAGTGAACCTTCTCCAAATTGCCTCTAACGAAACGATATCTTCCTTAAAGGGACCAAAACTGCTCACAGTACTCCAGATGTGGACTCACCAGTACCTTGTACAGTTGCAGTAAGACATCCCTACTCTTATATTCCCTTGAAATAAGGGCCAATATTTCATTAGCCTTCCTGATTCCCTGCTGCACCTGTGTGCTAGCTTTGTGTTTTGTACAAAAGCCACCTCAAGTTGCTTTGTGTTGTAGTTTTCTGCAGTTTTTTTCCTCAATTCTGTGTTTTAAGTTCTCCCTTCCAAAATGAACAACTTCAAGTTTGTGAACTTTTTCAACTTTTGCCCACTTACCAAACCTATTTTTGGTGTCATCTACAGATTTGGCTACAATACATTCACACCCTTCCGCCAAGTCATTAATATATATTATGAACAGTTGCAGTCCCAACACTGATCCCTGTGGAACCCCACTGGTCGCAGATCACCAATGAAAAATTTTTCTGATGAAGGGTCTAGGCCTGAAACGTCAGCCTTTCTGCTCCTATGACGCTGCTTGGCCTGCTGTGTTCATCCAGCCCTGCACCTTGTTGTCTCGGATTCTCCAGCATCTGCAGTTCCTACTATCTCTGATTCAGTACTCTCAAGTGATGGTGATTGTACGTAATTCTTACCCTGTATTCTTTAGTATTAATGGATATTTAACGTATCATCCACTGTAAAGAGTGATGTGAAACAGCTGTTAAATCCTCTGCCATTTCCTTGTTCCCCTAAAACTATCTCCACAGATTCATTTTCTGATGGGCCAATGTTCACTTTGACCTCTATCTTCCTTCTTCTAGATTGAAGATCTTATCGTCAGTTTTTATATTCTTTGCTAGTTTGCCCCTTTTGTAGTCGTCCTTTGCTAGAATCTGAATTTATCTCAGTCCTCAACACAGTTGCTGACATTTGTCTCCTTTACTTGCTTTTTCTTTCAACTTGATACTATCCTTAACTTCCTTACTTAGCCATTGTTGGTTTATCCCTTACTGGGATGTATTTTTTCTGAAAATCAAGAACTACCTTAAACGTATGCTGCTGTTTTTTGTCCATCATTCCTGCTAATGTGTCTACCCAATTCAATGCAATTCCCTTTATTCAAGTTAAACACAGTTGATTTCAACATTTTGTTGTGTTATGATCACTACTTCCAAGAGGATTTTTTACATTAAGGTCATTTATTAAACATGCCTCATTACCCATTACCAGATCCAAGATAACCTTGTTGGCTCCATGACACATTGCTCTAGGAAACTATCCCTAATATACTTTGAATTTGTTGTCATAGCTACCCTTTGCAATTTGATTAACCCAATCAACAAGACGATTAAAGTTACCCATATTATTGTTCTGTTCTTCTTACATGATCCTATTATTTGTGGATTGTTACCTTTCCTACAGAGTAGCTACTGTCTGGGGGTCTGTACACTACTCCTACTGTATTAGGAGTCACACACGGAAAGATTTCCTTTGATCCAACCAGTTCATGTCGAACAAAATCCCAAACTAAACTAGTCCCACCTGCCTCCTCCTCGTCCATTTCCTTCCAAACCTTTGCTATTCATGTACTTATCGAAATGTCTTTTAACCGTTATACTGCACCCACATCCACTACTTCCTCAAAGTTCATTCCATGCGCGAACCACCCTGTGTAAAAAATTTGCCCTGATGTTATTTTTAAAACTGTCTCCTGTCACCTTAGAAATGTGCTCCCTAATCTTGAAATCCCCCATCCTAGGGAAGAGATACCTACCATTAACTTTATCTATACTCACTATTTTATAAACCTGTACGAGGTAACCTCTCTACCTCCTATGCTCCAATGGAAAAAAAATCCCAGCCTACCCAGCCTTTTTTGTAACTCAAACCATATCCTGGAAGGTTTGAGTAATAAGAAAGGATAGATAGGCAACATCCTGGTAAATCACTAGCTTAATAATATCCTTCCTTTAATTGTGTGATCAGAACTGGACACAGTACTCCGGAAGGGGCCTCACCAATTCCCACTCCCTACCTGCACTCACCTATCACCGTCCTACCTACCTTCCTCAGCCCCACCCCTCCTCTATTTATTTCTGAGCTCCCTTCCCCTGCCCCATTTCTGAAGGGTCCCGGCCCAAAATGTCAACTTTCCTGCGCCTCTGATGCTACCTGGCCTGCTGTGTTGTCCCAGTCTGTCCAACCTATCTTTGTAGCTAAAATCCCCCATAGCAGGCAACATCCTGGTAAACCTTTTCTGTACCCTCTCCAAAGCATCCACATCCTTCTTTCTACTTCACCAGAATCATATTTTTTATGGAGATAATTATTCATGTAAAAATGTGTAGTGGTTAATCAATACATTTCTGAAAAGAGCATATTAATGAATTAAACAATACATTATTGAACTACTGCCCTTTTTATATTTCTACAGATTGACAAAATACAATAAACTACTGATTACAGAAAATTTAAGAACCCTTCCTTGCTACTAAAATATAATAAAAAGCACTAAATATGATCCTTTCTCTTGAAGATTAGAAATCTCCAGTATAAATTTATTTATTAGGTGATTGTTTTTAACTCATGTGATCCTTCCAAAAGAAAACCTGCTGAATTCTCAAGAGAGTTGCAGAATTACTATAGCCTAGAAGCGAGGGAACCATCGGACATCATCCTGATCCTGCCCAGATGTAACCCATTCAGTCTGTACTGGTCCCACCTCTTCCAGAACTGGTCCAAATGTCCCAGGAATCTGAAACCCACCCCTTGCACCATCTTACCATGCATGTATTTATCTAGTGCATCCTATTTATACTCCAACGTACAGCACTGGTAGTAATCCTGAGATCATGACCTTTGAAGTCCTACGTTTCACTGTATTTCCCTATATTCTGCTTTAAAGACTGCATCCTTTTTTTTGAAGCCTTTGTCATTTGTACCAATGTGTACTACGACCACTGGCTGTTCACCCTCCCCTTCCAGAATGTCCTCTAGCTACTCCAAGACACCCTTGACTCTAGCACCAGGGAAACAACATACCAGCCACACAAACGCTGTTTATTCCCATTACAATTGAAAGCCCTTCTAACTATTGCATTCCTACATATTCTCCTCCTCTGCTGTGTAGCAGAGCCAATCACGATGCAACACTTTTCGCTGTTGCTGCTTTCCCTGGAAAGGCCATTTCCCTCCCCCAGTCTCCAACAGTATCCAACGCGATATATCGGTTTTTCAGGGGAATAGTCATAGGAGACTCCTAACTGCCTGGCTACTCCTCTTATTCTACCTGGGGGGTCACCCATTCCCTTTCTACGTGCGTAGTTATGGCCTGCAATACTATTCACAATTCTCTCAGCTTTGCAGATGCTCCACAGTGGCCCCACCCACCAATCAGCTCCTGGAGTTGCAGGTGGAGACAGTTCCTGCACACATGCTGATCCCGATAACGTGCCCAGTTTCTCCTCATAGAGCAAGAGCAGCACATCATGACCTTGAGCTCTCCTGACAGGACTTACCCCTCTGGAATAAACTTTTATTCACTCTTAAAATCAAATAATTTCAATTACTTCAAATTTTTTTTCCCTTACACTTCGCTACAACAGAATATAGCCCTTACAAACTATGAGCAATAACTGTGGGTCAGTACAGACTGAATGTTTGTACCAATCAGCAGCACCCACTTGCCCTGTGTCACTCTTGAATCCTGTTGTCACCTCAGGAGCTCTGGCTTGAGTGAAGGTAACGCTGGGCTGTTCCTGTAGCTCTACTCAGCTGCTCCTTGCCAGATTCATGCACTCTCTGAACCCCAGTGCTGTGTAATGTGAGCGTTCCTCAAGGTCGCTCATTCCCCAAATGCCCTAAGACCTTATATTTAAAGAGAAGTACTCACCAGTGAGAGAAGAGGAGGGACTGATTACCTTTCTCTCTCCTGCCTAACTTCAGTTACACACTAAGCAACAAAGCATTACTCCAATTTGTGCAGCATTTTTCTTTTGACCCAACCTTTGCTTTATTTGTTTTGTGAGAATACAGAAAACACATCAACAACCAAATGCACCAAAGTTGGTTAACTGCAGTGGATTGGCCTGTGGAACCACACAACTGACAATGTAGTTCTAAAAAGACACTAATGTCCACTATTGCACATTTCTTTCCTATATGTGTCAGCAGGCTAGGCCTGGTGTGGGGTGACTGATATCAGGTATTCAGTATTGATGCATGTTTCCTGTGGAGTTATAGGTACTATTTGTTGCAAAGGCGCTTCTGACTGGGTGTTATCCTGTCTATTGTAGGTCCATTTTATTGGAAGTAGCATGTAAAGTTTACTGTAGGAGATGAAGAATACTACTCGACTGATGTTTGCAAATGCATTCCATAGAAAAAGATGACCAATCAAACTCACCCTTTTATTATGCAAACCTGTACTCTTTTAAACTATTGATATGTATAATAATTTTAGAATGACAAGTTATTCATAAGAAAATTGTTAATATAGAAAATATGATTTTCAAAAATTCTGAACATTGCGATTTCCAAAGGTGCACTGCAAAATGTATCTGCATTCAGATTTTATTTTTATGTAAAAAGACTAGTATTTTTAAAAGCTAAATGTCAGCAGGTTGGATAAACTTAGTAAATAATCATGTATTTTTCCAGCTGGCCTTACATTTAGTGCGCTGTTAGTTTTGTACATAATACTCACTACCTACTTTCTACTTAACCAGAATCACATTTTTTATGAAGATGATTATTCATGTGAAAATGTATATTGTGTGTTTATTAATACATTTCTGCAAATAGCATGTCAATGAATTAAACAATGCATATTGAACTACTGGCCTTTTTATAATTACACCGACAAAATACAATAAACTACTGATTGCAGGAGATTTTAAAAAGTCGCATTGTTGATAGAATCTCCTGGTGCACATTGAATTTTTTTTATACAATGTGCAAAATTATTCTATTTGCACCAACAAATAGGTATTTCCAAGTACTACACTTCGTTTTAGAATGAATCATGCGCACACTATTTTCAAGGTTTCTTTGAGTTTTGTCATATTTATACTTCAATTCCACATACACGTAGTTTGAAAATGCCTTGCTGATCCTGTTAGAACGCTGGTTAATAACATACTTAATGCGCGGTGTCAAAACGCATCCTTGCTACTGAAATATATAGGCAGGTGTGATGTGAAATCATCAAAAAGCACTTTCAAAATATGATCCATTCTCTAACCACCATTTATTTCTGTTAAAGATTATAAATCTCCAGTATAAATTTCTTTCTTTATTACAAGTGATTGTAAGGCTCATACAAGTCAAAATTAAGACAAAACCTGCTGAATTCTCAAGTGAGATGCAGAACAGCTATAACCGAGAAAGTGGTGGGATGTTCTCACCGATCACCACAAAAAGGGAAGAAAGGAGGTTGGAAAAGTGAGTACAACTTGTTACCAACAAAGATGTTTCTGCTTAACTACATTGTGCAAATCAATCTAACCTGACTGTCTTAAAAACCCCATTCAAAATAGTAAGGAAAACAAAGAGAAGTTTCAGCAACAGAACAAGTTAAAATCTTGCTCAACAGAACATACAAGGTTGATCATGGCTTTTGCAGACCATAACAATACTGTTAAAATATTTAACTGCTGCATACTAGTGATTTATAATTGGTCATCTGTTCAAGCAAGTGTCCTACTCACACCAGAATAATCTGTGGCAAGGTCCAACTAAAAGATCACATTTACCCTGATTACTTACATTAGAATCAGCAATAAACCATTCTCTATATACATTTCGTACAACCAGTCGGTGTTTTACCTTTGGCAAGATTACTTACAGCTCAATTTCCATAACTTTTTTAAAATATATATACTAATGCATAAAAATAAAGATTTTGGCATCAATTTATCCAAATTGGAAGCTCCATCCAACACTAGAGGACCACAGCATCATTTTGCAGCCTCACCACAGAAGAACACAACTGTAGGTAGGAAGAGGTTAGAGACAAGCAGCTGCTCCCCTACACTTGTACCATTAAAAGAACCAGTTCTTTTCCAAGACAGACACCAGACATGGCCCTTTGATCATTCCACCTTGCCAGATGTTTCAGTCCAGCCTAGCATCAGGTTTCTAATGGTTTTCAGAGACTGCTGAAGCAGTTCGTCATGCCCATTATCAATACTGAGCACTTTCCACACACACCAAAGGAAAACAGAAAAACTAATCCCTGCTCAAAGTTCAATTTCAAAGGTTTTCTGTAGGTCACTAGAGAATGGATTAGTTGGAGAAGGTGTGGCCCGTTGCTTTGATTTACATTCCAGGGCATTCCACTGAGCTTCAAATGCATCAATTCCTGGTATGCCAGCTGCTGCCATTTGAACGCTTTTGGTTTCTGTTGTCCATGTGCCACTTTCTGCTCCGTTGAAAGCTGCCAATCCGTTAATTTGCTGGGCAGGTTTAAAGTAAGGGTTAGCATTTGCAGTAACTCCCATCATGCCACCATCAATTTGTGGAAATGCGTTTTGTTTCAACTGCGTGTGAGTAACCTGAGGATGACCTGTAGTGCCAAAGACATTAGCCACCATTTGAGATGGGGTGATTCCAACCACAGGCACACTGGGAGCTTGATAAGTTGCTCCGTTGGTAACCCCGAGATTGTATGGTTGAGCAGAAACAAACGTAGGTTGCATCTGAGGAAGCGCACCAGCTGGTGCTGCCTGTGGGCTAACAAAAGTGTTGGCCTGAAAGGACGGTGGGGCAGGTGGCACAGCCACTGATGGTTGTGGCTGTGAAGGTGGTAGCACCCGGACACTTTTTGATACTTCCTCAAGCCAGCGGTCAGCTTCCGAAGGTGTGCGATTGTGACCAGGCTGAAACTGGGCTGTCACTGTAGCAGCTGATCCCCAATCAGTGCCTGGTTAAAACAAAGAAGAAAGTATTTAAAGACTCTCTGCTCAATGAACAAGTTACTCAAACAAACTAAAGTGAAGAGAAAGAAAGTGGTCTGGTTAATATTAAAAAGAGAATTATGACTCTTTTAGGCGAAGATAGCACTTGGGGTTTTACAGTTCTATGAGGCATCAGTGTCAAGGGCTCATCCTCAGTTTAGTCACAGCATGGTCTTTGCATCTTTGGAGGAAGCAGATTGAAATATTGTTATTAAATATTATAAATAAGCCAGAGGAGAGGAAAGTTGGTCTCCTCCTTCAAGTGCATCTGTTACTCAGTAAACACATGGACAGGAAGAAGTCATACATGCCCTTGGAACCTGTCCCATCGTCATTCATTGAGACCGTGGCTGATGTGACCCAATTCCATCTACGTGCATTTTTTTCTTAAGAGTGGCACGGTGGCTAATTGGTTAGCACTGTTGCTTCACAGCACCAGGGACCTGGGTTCGATTCCACCCCTGGCAACTGTCTGTGTGGAGTTTACATGTTCTCCCCCATATTCCAACGATGTGCAGATTAGGTGGATAGGGTAGGGGGTGGGTATAGGTGGGATACTCTTCGAAGCGTCAATGTGGACTTATGGGGCAAATGGCCTGCTTCCACACTGCAGGGAATCTATGATTCTATGATACCCACTTCTGCCCCAAATCTCTCAATATCTTTGATTAACAAATACCTATCAATCGCTGCTTTAAAGTATCAATTTCTTTATTCCACTCATGGGATGGTTGCTGTCTGGGCCAGTATTTATTGCCCATTCCTAATTGTCGAGAAGGCAGTCAAGAGTCACCCCTTTGCTGTGGGTCTGGAGTCACATGAAGAGGTAAGGATGGCAGACTTCCTTTCTAAAGGACATTAGCAAACCAGGTGGGCTTTTATAATAATTTGTAATATAATTTCACGGTCATGGTCATGAGGCCAGCTTTATATTCCAGATTTATAAACTGATTTAATTTCCAGTGATCACAATGCATTCGAATCCTTGTCCTCAGGGCTTCTGGATTCTGAGTCCAGTGACATTACAGCTATGCCATCATCTCCCTCCTAATTGCCATCTCTAAAAGAGCGTCAAGCATCTAATACCATCTGTCTGTAATAGTAGTTCCCAACTTTTCTCCAAGAAAAATCTAGCTCTCATTTTTAGGATATCTTCCTCATCCTCGACATCCTCAACCAACCCTATTTTCATTATAACTTGCAAACTTCAATCTAATTTTCTCTTAACTCTTTAAATTCTAGGGAATACAAGTCTAGTTTGTGTCAACGCTCCTCACAATTTAACTCTCTAAGTTCAGGTACCATGCTAGTAAATTTGTACTGCGTTTTCTCCAAGACCAATATGGCCTTTCTAAGGTGAGCTGTTCAAAACTGTGACTCACAGTGACTGCAGATGTTGTCTAAGCAGAGCTGTGTGTAGCTAAGCACACATCTACTACTTTGTATCCTAGTCCTCTAGGTACAGAGGATACAGCATTCCAAAGACGAAAGGTCACAGGCCTGAAACATAACTCTTGTTTCTCTGTGCTGTAAGACCTGACAATTATTTCCAGCATAATCTATTTGCATTGAGGTAATCCATAAACCTTGATAATTCTTTTGTACCTGTTCATGTCTTGTGCACATTGATTACCAAGGGTCACCACTGTTTCTAGCTTCTCACCATTCAGAAAGTATCTCAGTTTGAATGCAATGCCTTTGATCATTGTCTATTGATAGCCTCAGTAAAGAACAGCACTGACTGAATCAACAGGAAGGCTGGTCAATCACCGTTTTCTCCGCAAACTCATTTAAAAATGTTTCATGGAAAATAGTAAAATGAAACGGGTACAAGATTCCACCATTCAGCCAGAGCCTGGCTGATTTGCACTTACATTCCAATGTTACTTGACTTCCTGCCACATCCTCATTTAACTTGAACCTAGCAATCTCAGTCTTGAATAATTCAGCTTTTCCTGAGCTTCAACACTTATTTGAAGAGGTGGATGAAAGAGAAATTGTGGTTGAGATTTCCACCACCTCTAAAACAACTATGCTATATTGTTATAAACAGGAGGTGCTTGCCCTCGCACCAGTGGAAACAGTTTCAATCTATCTACATTTACAACCCTTTAAGCTACTCAATTCAATCACTGCTTAATCATCAACCTTCATGGGAATACAAATTTGAGCCTCAATAACAAATCCGGGTGCGGGATGGGGACAGTGGGTTGATAATGAAAAGAGAGTTTGATGTTGTATGTTGGATGTAGGAATCATTTCACATTCACAAGCTACATTTATCATGAAATGAAAGAACTTAATACCACTTACAGTGGAGGAATGTTAATCCTATACACCTAAAAGATTCAAAACTAGTAATGATTACATCAAGCAACAGTTCAATCATTTCAAATCAATAGTGATTCAGATCTGCTAATTATTTTAACCTTCTGCAAAGATTTGATTGTTCATTGCCAGGAAGTTTAAGATGAACTGAAAATAAAAAAATGATGGAGATAATCAGATGAAGAGTCATCTAGACTTGAAACGTTAGCTTGCACTCTCTCCATGGATGCTCCCTGACCCACTGTGATCTCCAGAATTTTTGGTTTTCAGTACAGTGGTAGTTTGCTCTATGTTGAACGTCATACATATTTCACTCTATATAGAATATAAATGAAAAACACCTTCCAAGATACCACAAAGGAGCACAATAAGGCAAAAAGTCTACACTGAAGTAAATGAGGTATTAGTAAGGTGATGAATCAGCCAGGTCAAAGGTAGGTGTTAAGGAGAGGGAAGCAGAAAGATTTAGAGAGCGTCAGCTGAGATGGCTGAAGGCACAGTTGTTGCTGGTGCAGCAAACTAGTGGGCTAAAGGCCAGGGAAGAACATAAAGGCCTGAAGGTTAAAAGATAAGAAGGGGCAGGGAGATATGAAAAACAAACAAATTAATGAATTGCATTAAGTAGCACCTTTAAGTAGCAAAGCATTGAGTGAAGG